AACATATTTCCTACCTTTTGTACATATTCAGTATTCCCTTTGAACTTAATTGTACCTTTATTTGTATTATTATTTATTTATATATATTTTTTCATAGACTATTGCATCTTATTATTAGCTCCATTGCACTTGGTACTGGGGTGACGCGTAGCTACGGCCCTGTCCACACTAGAGAAGCGAGCAATGGCGTCGTGGCGGTAAAACTGCATATACGCGTTACCCACGACTATTTTCTCGATCTAGTCGAATTGAAAACTATTTCGAGAATTCTACTCTATGGTTTCTTCCTCATCAAAGCCTACAGAATACGCCACTGTATCTCAAATTCGTGTCAGATAAAGAACTTTTCATCAAAATGCAAGTATAGTGCGTAGAAAGTACGCCTGAAGGCTTATTTTTAAACTTTCACGATCAATTACAGTTATTAAGAAGCAGAAATAATTATAATTATGGACACTCATAAACTCGGAATACTCTCACCTAACCTTTAACCCAAAAATGACCCATCTAACATTTCCAGTTTTTACGTAATATTTCATTTTAGCCAAAAATCGCGCGCTTTTCTAAAATCTCCCAATTTTCGAAAACCGAGGGTGATAAAGCAATTTCGATTACGGATTCGTTTTCAGGAATGTCAACTCTATAGGAATTACCCAATATCACGGATTATAGTTCGTGTCGAACGATGTGATTAAATCCTAATTGCTAGAGCTGAGACTTAATTTGATTTGACGCTGAAAGAGAAAAAAAAGAACCTGGATCGCGTCGATAGCCGTACGCGTAAGGTCTTTGATCCTGGTTGACACAGTTTCCATTGAAATGTCGTGGAATGCGTCACGCGTGTCTGCGAACACTTTTACAGATTAAAATAAGAATCCTTGACGGCCGAACGCCGTGCATGAATACGCATAAATTTTCCTTCGTTTAAAGTATCGTTGAACTGGAATACATTTTTACTTCCATTGAGAAATCTCAGGCTTTTATGTAATTATTATTTATGCAAGTTAATAACGTATACGGCAGAACTGGGAAAATAGTTTACCAACTATTTCGATGTCAACGAAACAGGTTCTATTTTTGTTTATATTCCCTTTTATTCGTGATTTGTCGCGTACGTAATTCGAGGACATCTTGTTTGCAGTCCAAAGAATGGCAGTCAAGGGTAGAAATGTCTTAAACGAATTCATTCGAAGATATAAGTTGAGCAAATGCGTCTAATTATACACAGACAGCTTGACGCTTCTAATTCTTGTACGAATATTCGAGCTTTCGCGTTATTTAAATATCACGTTCTCACGTTTTCGGAATACTGTATAGTTTCGTCGACAGTAGCGCCACCTGCTTGCGCGCGCATTTTTCCGTTACAATTCGAGCGATTATATTACTCTTACTAAATTCACTGCTCGGACATTAACGGGTTACTTGACAAACAACTTTCTCACTCTTTCTAATTATCGAAAATATCGGAATCCCTAATAAACGCGTTATAAAATATATATACCAAACATAACAGTCACCTAACCTCAACCATTCTGTCAAAACAAGTTTACATAACCGAGTATATCAACCCCGCAGCGTAACAGGACAAGATGAAAATATTTGCATTTCAATAACAAGTTTATACTAACCTAATACTCCCAAGAACTGCCAAGAAAAGTATGAATATGAAATAAATACGATCAAAACGATCGCGTGGAATTATAGCACGCATAGAACTAATTTCACTTGTATGAACAGAGTTATGCATGTTTTTACCTAACAAGACGCCTCCTATAAAGCAACCGTGGAAAGATAGTCGTGTAAGATGCATAGTGTACCTCTTGCACGTACCCGTGCACCGTGAAATAGCAATAAAAGAGAAAGAGAAAGAATGCAACGTATCTGAGTACGTGATCAAATTAACATTAAGCCCGAAACATGCCACGTCGAACGAGTAATACGATCCCGACGCGCGCGCAGCCAAGAAACTGTTACGCCTTATTACCGACATTTTGTTGCAGAAACTGTCATTGTAACACGATTACGCGCGAACTGGTGCCTTTTTTGCGGTAAACACGGGACCCACGAACGGAGAACTGGTTTGCGACTACGTAAATTCATTGAGAATGTTTCATCCCGGTTTTCCTATCGTCCTATCGTCCCTCTTGCGGTTGTCATGGAGAATTCGAAGGACTGCCGCGGATCGTGAAAGCCGACACTGGTACGTGATCGAAATGCCATAACTTCGGCGCAAGATACCGACAAAGTTCGTGACGGAACTCGGATATACCGATCGAGCCTCCTGCTTATCGCGCATTCGCGAAATTCTGGTTCGTACTGGAACTGCGCGCGGAGAAACCCGGCCGGATGTTTTCAGTTAGCACGCTCCATCGGCCCAGAGTTTATATATTCGACGCGGAGATGCCACTAGTGACTTTTGCGCCGCGCAATTTGCAGAATGTGAACCGTGGAATATTGAGCGTGCAATTCAGGATGCGGAATGTGGAATGTGTAAGATGGAATGCAGGATAGGGATTGTAAGAGCGCCCGCGTTCGAAAATTCACGTGGCCACATAAAACGCGCTGTTTATCGGCTTTCGCGACGCTAACTCCGAGTCTTAGCCCCATTTTCAACAAAAGGGTCGCCAATATCGGTGTAAAATAAAATGCGAATACCCGGCAACCTTCGCGTGAGCAGACAAGATAAATAACACTTATTTTCTTAATGACGCAATCGCAGGATTTTCTACCGGTCAACTCCTCTTCGTACTTAAAACTCACGACGAGAGTTCCCACGCCGTGATATTTAGAAAAACAAGGCTCTTATGAAACGTTGATATTATTCCTCTCTAACGTGATTGGATTTTCTCAAAATAAACCTATTTTTCGTTCGATATTTTTATAATCCAACCGAACGACAACTAACACTGTTGTTTACCAACTGGACTAAAAATACGAGGAAAGAGTTTCTCGTGTCCAACATATCCACCATATCTAATATTTTAGCCATTAAGAATTGTACACGAGTTGTAAATTACAACTTCCTTTGGTTGCCAATAAATACATTATCTTCTAATTCGATATTACGTAAATTAAAATCCAATTTTTATCAAATTTTACTATATTAATATCTCAATTTCCTCTTACTAAATTGAATTAATGAAAAATTAATTCGTCATGCCGAATTTGAAGTACACAAACAGAACTAGATACGAGATGCGAAGAATAAAATTACCACTGATATTCTTACCATTGCTACATTCTAGAATGGAAGAAGGGTTCGAAATAATCACGAGTTTCCTGAAACGTCCGCTAGGGGCGGGCAGTGGCGGTGAGCGGTTTCGACCACGAAATAATTACGTCAAACTCGATTTAGACGCGTTTCGTGTTTTACGTAACTTTCACCGTCACGTATAAAGTGAGGTGAGAATGCAACGGTATTCTTAGATACTCGGAAGCCGACCAATCTCTGTCATATCCAAGAAATATCACGAAACAACCAAAAAGCGTGTGCGCCGAGAAAGCCGACATTTTTTGCGGAATAATCGGAACGCGGTCACTCAACAGGCGCTGGCAGAGAGCTGAGATTCTTGTTCGTTCGTTGTTGTAAATTTAGCTCCACGTCTGGTTCCACGAAGCGAGCCTCGTCGACGACAACCGCGATAAACGAAACCGAGGAAAAGGAGAAAAACAGCCTTCAACTAGCGAACTTTCTCCGTTGCATACGCGATCGGTCGCGGAAAAATTAATAATTGCTGATAAGCCGATAATATGGACAATACGCCTGGAATTAAAACAGACTCGTGTATATCCACGACGAAATATGTATTGGTATCGATCGACATTGTGCATCCGATAATATTCGATCGATTGAAACTTTTGAATATGAAAGAACACGTATCTTCTGGAGTAAATTATCCCTGCTTAATGTACTGCAAGCAAGGCCTGGTAATCGTGACTCGTGCCAGAAATTTCAAGGCAGGAACTTGACTGTGACACATGTCTCTGATTTGTTAAAATTCTGATACAAATTATAATACGTATAGTCATTTCATAGGAGAAAGAAATTCTTGTACTTTTTCGAGAAGAAACTATGCTTTTTGGTAATAAATAAAACGCGAAGTTTAAACGATATAGGAATTGTTTATTGTATAGGGTTAACTCAACGATTAGCGTAGTAAGCGAGAAGATCGTAAATCATGTTGGTACGCCTGTTGGGAAATAGAGCGAACGATGGGCCAAATGTCACGCGAGGAATGACAGGGCCTGTCTTGGAACACGAGGAGAAATAGCAAACAGAATAGAGAAATTAGAAAAACATTAGAAAAGGAGAAAATTAAATATATCCTATTTCGTATTACTAATATAAAAATTTATAGTCACGGGATAAATTTGTCATTAATGATAAACCTTCCTAAATTTAATTATCTATATAATACTGTATGAAATCTATACTTCATTAGTCATAATAACCAAACGGGAACCAAAGGATAGCTTTATAATTCCAACGATACGTATTTGTTTACAAGAACATTAACACATTATATACGAGATACGTACTGGTACATTTTTTGTATATTATTGGTATATAATATGCGAAATACGTACTTACTAAATTTTTAACGCACCGTCAATTGAAATTCGTACATTTATTTTTAATTCACAGCCAATTAAATGTTTAAAAATGAAAGTTACCTGCACCGAGTTTAACCTATATCGTACTGCATTTGTTCAGTGAAATTCGTTGAAGGGCAGATACAAGATAATTCGCATGTAATTACCCTCTGCAGCAAGGGACTTTCTAGAACGATCTTCGTTATCTAAGGCTAAATGCATATTTTTGCTTTTCGCTCCAGGCAAAAATTAATAAACATAAAACATTTGATTTCTGCTATTTTTTTTTTTTTATGTAAAGACTGCCTATGCAAAGAAATGAAAGGAGAACACGCAAAATAAAAAAGCCATTCGTACAACCACGAAATAAAAAAATCAGGCTATGAACGGTTTCTTGATCTACTCACTGCAGGCTTTTTGCCAATAGCGCTTGTATCGCTGTAGGACGTAACCTTCACGTAAGGACTGGAAGCGGATATCGGCACGGTGATCATTTTTCCGCCCTTTACTTCTCCACCTTTCTCCCATTCGCTAGCCGAAAAAATTGTACGCGGTCACCACGATCCCGCGATGTCTCTCCTCGAATAGCCGAAAATCTGGCACGTTTTCACGGCCACTTCCGTCGGTGCGACTTTCCTCAGAGGCCGATGCACGTCCCCCGGAACGATGACAAAACGATGCTTTTCGAACGAGTTTATTACGCTTCTCTCGTTTCACGTTAATCTGCCAGCTGTCAAGTACGTGCAGTAATCACCAAGTCTGATTTATCGTTGAAAGCTTTGCTCATTCATTTATGATATTTCGTCGAATGCATTTACTATAAATGACGTGAAGGCGCGTTTCTATATCGTCAAAAGTGATTTTAGCAGTTCCTCCTGAAGCTTGCAATATGTCGAATACGAAATGATTTATTTTCAAACGGACATGTGACTACCTTCAAGGCTGCTTATGACAGCAGATTCGTTTCTTCCTCAACGGACGATATACTGGTAATTCGATCTTCAAATTTTTCCGTTTGGCACTTTCACAGTCTATCGAAAAACACGTGAAATTTGTCCTCAACGAAGTTCGATATACGGATCGATATTTATCGAAAGAAACATGCTCGTTTATTCGATACAACTCGACGCGAGTTTGACGTGATCACTGATAATAATTCTTCGACTGTATTGTGAAATTAATTTCTGGCTTTTCTATTGGTTTATTCGTCTGATTCATTCAATGCCACTCACGGATTCGTGCACGCAGAGCTCGTGATGGTAACCGTCGCGTCTCAAGGCAGGCATTGCACTGATCTAATCGTGGCTTAGCGTCCGAAGTATACGAACTTTTCTAGTCCAGGCGAAACGACTTTGTTTTCAAGTTAACTCTGCAATAACACCTTTACCGACCGACGAACAAACATCGACTGACGCTTGGCGCGCTACGGCGTCTAAGCAAACGAATGAACCTGGCAGCCATGCGCCTACAGGTAATGCCGGTAAATCATTCGCATGAAAAACATGGCTGAGGAGGTCGTCCTAATCGATTTTCAGACTTCTCTTACCAAACATGTTCTGTCGATATTAATTTATTAAGCTTTTAACGTTCATTGCGTGGTATTGTTTACCCTCTGTATATATTGTCTTAATTTCTTATACGTTGGTTGTTGTCAGGGGTTATTATAAGCCGTTTACCAAGAAGAAAGGTAAAGATAACAGTCATTAGGTTATAACGTATTTCTATGAAATAACGTATTAATAATTGATTGGTACATTCAAAGAGGAAATTAATTATTTATGAAACATTTTCCATATCGGATTTCATTATTTCGTGCTTTAATGGTAATAAATAAAAGTTTAATTTGGAAGCAACTTTGTATGCAATTTTGCATGCACTTCCATCACAGCAGATTCAATAGCTGGATGCTCTTATGTAATGTTAAATCAATCCTCGAAGGTTGTTAATATATGTATTTCTGCTTCCTTTATGCCAAGCAGTGGTTGATAAGTAATCAAATGTGAAAAAAAAGAAAAAATGGAATAATTGCTGATTAAAAATTTATATTAAATATGGTTTGATTTTAACTTGATACATTGCATTTCTATCTCTGATTTTATTTCCATAAATTTATATATGCCTTTCTAATTTACTTCTATTAAAATACTTCTCGTATCGGCCACTAGATGTCTATCAAGATATTCTTATATCCGCAAGTACACGATTAACTGTCAATTGTTATATAAATCCCTTATTCCAAACTTTTTACAACGCAATTAAGTTTCGTAAAAACGAATATTTCAACAAATTTCCTAATTAATCGATTTCAAAATTTCTCGCAGCATTTACAAGAATTTTTTCCTGATAAACAGAACATGATGATATTGAAAAAATGCATCGTCTATCTCTTATTCTTGTCTAACTTATCTGGAATTAGGTGTTCGATAAGCGCAACGATATCTTGGTCACGTTAAGCAAATAAACAATTATGGCACATACGAATGATTATAAGAATTCCAGTCGGACAATTTCGTGCGAAAACTACGATAAGATGCCTCGAAATATACGTGCGTATTTCAGGTTTTGATTTGTCAGATGGTGGCTGCACGTGCCTGAACACTTACAACATTTCACGATCCCGCTATTCGTAAACAATCTGATTTGCAATTCAAACGAGGCTTATTCGATCGACAGAGCTTTTAAAGTTTCGCTTAATCAGCCATCTTGGAAAATTTGGTCCGTGTTTGCGATCTGCCTTAAATAAAACCTGCGTAATCGTGGGTATTGTAAGAAACAACAGACTAAAATTGTGACGCATAGGTTGTTATTCTTGATTTACGTAAGCAGTGAAATTCGTATGCAATAAAACAGTTTGTTTATTGATTAAACGCGCCAAATTATCTGAGAATGATGAGGTCGTTTGAAGTACGCAGTAGTTGAAATTTATTTGTTTATTATTCCATCAAAAATTAATCCTGCATTGGAAGCAGAAGACCAGTCATACTCTTAATGCTGGATTAACCTGTGACGAAACGTTTAACTCTAGTGATTATATTTAGGTTACAGAAATCGCCGCCAAAACAAGGAGGGCGTTACGATATACCTAACCAACTAAACCTATGAACTTCCAATCACCTTTTTCCTTATTCATTGTAAAATGTGATAAAACTTTTTATGTTCTAATGTCAATAGAAGCCTCACGTGTTTAAAATATTGAAACTCAACAACAGGTCTCCTCTTCACACAGCAATTATTATTTCTTTCGTTTTACGTATACTCTACCGAGGTCATTTGCAATTCAAGCGGTTACATGGTCCGACGTTTCTCATCCGAAGACACGGTAGCACTTGTTCGATCCCTAAACATGCGTCCACACAATCGGTAAGACCAATAGTTTCGCTGAATTTTTGTACCCTATTATCCGTCACAAAAGGACAAGAACAATTTCGTGAAACGTGTGATTGTTACCTGCGATATGCACTGAAGCGTGCATGAAAATACATGTAAATTACTTCTACTGCCTTGAGTACCAAGGACGAAAATTGGCAAAAACATCAAACGTCGTTGGTAAACAGTTATTTTGTATTTTTAGACGCGTTGGTTCGGTGGAGTTTGCTCTTCAGGCTATTTCAGTAACTTACATTTTATTGATGCATTGATGTAGCAGGTGAACGTCAGAGTTCTAAGTATCCCTTTCTGTGACCATTGAAATTGAATGTATAAAGGACTCACATGAAAATATGGTTGGTTTCCATGTACATATTCAGTAAGAAACAAATTTTTAAATGTATATTATTCTTTATTTTTCCTATAACTTCCTTTGAATTTATTAAAAATTATTTGTCTCTGATTTAAATGATTATTAAATTCTTAAAATGTTCTGTTTTTGCATAAATCATCATTTTCGTGTCGTAATGGTACGCTTAAATAGAAAAGTCAATAGACATTCATTTAACCTCAAAGGTAATAAAAATCGAAGTCTGTAAATCAGCAAAAATTCTATTTGTAATATTTATTTTCATTCGTAAATACAATTATGTTAATGCTGTATCTAATTGAAGCAGAATTCGGAACGTATTTGAACAGGATTCTGCAAAATCGATGTTTTTCCATTCTCACAGCAATGAATATAATCCAATCGTGTGAAGTAAGCAATTAACGCTATCCGAATGCAGTTATAAACATTCCGACATTTTTCCCGCCATTTACGCGCGAAATTCAAACAATCGAAATGCGACCAGAACGTCTTCGCATCGAATATGAGATTAAAATATTCGAAATGAAAAGGGAATCGTTCGAGTAGAAGAAAGCCATAAAGAAACGAATGTGGGCCGTTACGTAACGAAAATTTTACGGCAGAAACATTCGACGTGAACGACATTAAGCAACCTGTTCACCGAACCAAGTTTTAATTATAGACGCGTGGTTAGTGGATATCGTAAATTACTGTCGAGAAATTACTACTCGTTTATGAAAATCTTTTTCTGCACGCGAACACGTTCGTTATCACCTTAAAGTGTCAGTATGTCAAAGGGGTTCAGGAATTAATGGAATTGTTAATCCACAGAAAGGAGAACTTCGTGGAAGAATGAAACCTAAAGAAGGAGCCTGCTGCTAATGACAATAGGCTTAACCAAGATGGCGTGCAATCTTAAGTTCTCTTGAGCTTCACTTGAATATGGTTTATGTTTAATGCTTTTATATATGACACTATATACTTATAACTTAACACTAAGTTAAAATAAAAATGTATTAACAGTAGAAGTATTAAAATAATTAAAATATCCGGCCCCAGATCATTTATTTTTGTGGTTACTAAAAGTATACGGTTATTTTTAACACAATTAACATTGACCTCTCTTTTGATAGAAATCTAATTGTATATGAGTACATATACTTATCTATATATATCCTATGTACATTATATTTAATTTATTATTATCCGTGCATGCTATTACATACTTAGCTATACATTTCAGGTAGATAATTTTAATGCTAAAGCTGACTTCTGTCTCAGGACACGCTTCAAGTTATTTTAAAATTGTTGATATTTTAATATTATGATAATTAATGCTGATCTTAAGCAGTTAATCGTTAAAAATGATGATACTTTTTGCTACAGAAAATATATCATACTGACTTAAAAAGATACGCATTTTTCATTTTTGTATCCTATTTCATCCATTAACTCTAACATAAGTAGATAATCATAAAAATTTAAATAATCGTTTATGTATCAAGATCTGCAAAGATTATGTGCATTAATCTCGAGTTTGAAATTCCCCTGGTATGTTGTACACTAAACGCTCTCTAAAAATCCGGTTCATATGTTCCACCTCGTTTTACCTGATTGTACTGGTGTTAATGAAAAATAATAAATCGATCGCATAGAGGAACCGGTTTATGTCATTGCGTCATCGAACGCCGAGTATTCGTGTCGTTCGATGTAACAACGATTTTCATTCCGGATAATCGCAGTGGTAATTATTGCGCGAACCGATGCACTTGCACTCGTGCTCATTTCAAGGTCTTTTCTCCACCACCGTCTTATAGGCATTTTTCACAGCCGATGGAGGGGGTCCGTTAAACGTTAATTCAGCAGATCACGTAAGTCGATTAGGAATTATCAATCATTTTCCAATTAAATCAGCTCCTTTTTGCATTATAACTCTGTGAAACAAATAATCGGATGTAAAGAAGATCTGGGAAAATGAGAATTTAAATTCATAGCACACAGCAACGCATAAGAAATAGTTGAGATATACTTTTCTCTATATTATGTTAATTTTGTATTTTAAATTAATAAGAAAGACAGCAGCCAGAGGATAATAATTATACATACTATTTTATAACAGGGACATATCCATGGCTAATGTCCTCGTGTTCTATTGGACCTCTGGTTTAATGAAGTTAAACTGCATAAATGTATTATTCAAGGGAATTGGTATAAGTAGCATAAAATAAGAGGCAAAATAAGCGTGGCTATGATAGATACCAGTTTCTGCAAGGTTTACCAATATGGCGCAGAATAGTTTAGCTGGTAGTAGCTGCAGTAACAGTATCCGGAGCTACTCTGCCATTGGAATGCAATAAGAATGCTGACGTGTGCCAATGAACCATGAAAGGTCCTTTCATTTCGTTGTTCTATTGTGATTGCATAACCGCGATAATTGCATCCGTCAGGGTCTTGTTTCAGCGAACACCGACACTAGCTAGTGTCTTTTGCCCGCTTCATTTCCCTCGTCTTCTACTGTACAATAAAATTCATAACAGATATTACAATTAAAAAAAGGAACAAAAAAAAAAAATTGGAAAATAACAACGTCGAAATTGATGTAATTATGCAAATAAAGCGTATTCAATTCTAATCGAGTTGTGAAAAAAATTGTTAGGTATACCTTGAACGCCATATTTTGTA